CAGGTGTCTGTCCTTTCCGGGCCATGCACGAGGCCAGCCATGAAACACACGAGGCTCAACAGCTTTGCAATGTTTACTCTTGAAAAAATAATTTGATTCCGAAAGCGGCAAGCCCTGGGGATGCCCACGCACCCAGCCCTGCCACAGCCACCACACCAGAGCCTTGCTGGAGGAACGGGGAGGGACAGGGAACAGCACCCAGCGGGCCCATCGCTGTGTGCGGAGAGCTCGGAGCCCACCGGGCAAGGCCTGCTGTTGCTGAGCAGGGAGCCATGGCCCCTCGGTCACAGCAGGGTGGGCAGCAGGGAGGGGAACTCGTGTTTAGCCATTCCCTATCTGCAGGACCACCTTCCCCAGCCCCAGGAAGAGCCGGGAGGAAGCCAAGCCCGAGCCCTGCCAGAGAAGAAAAGAGATTTAGTTTCAGAGGGAAGGGAAATGGGGCCTTAGAAACAGAAATGCCAAGGAAAAGGGCATGACAGGGAAGGGCTGTGGAAGCTTTTCCAAAGCAGGGTACGGCGAGTGAGCTGCTTTCCCTGGGAAGAAGCCGGGTCCCTTTCCCATCGCGCCGAGAGCCAGAGCAGAGTCCCAGCGCAGGGCAGCACTGGGGTGGCGGATGAGGGCAGGGCTGAACCCAAGCCCGGTACCGCAGTCTCAGGGGTGCCACCCTGCACCCTCTTGTTCCCCTCCTGCATCCATCCCCTCCCCACCGCTGGGACAGGCACGCAAGGGACCGCGAGGCCGAGTCCCTGGGGTCACACTAGAGCTGTGCTGTGTCCGCACAGGGCTCGTTCTGGCCAAAGAGGAGCAGAGCCCCCAGGTTCACGACTATTCCTACACTGGGCAAGGGAGGCAGGAGGGGAACAGAGGACAGAGTCAGGGCTACAGAGGACAAAACTCCCACAGCTATCCCCACGCTACCTGGGGGTACCAGCTCTCCACCCTGCTTTCCTGCTATCCTCCCCTCCCCATAAGCAATAAATAAATAAGTTAGTGTAGTGTAGACCCCCGACGCTCAGTTCACAGTGAGAAAATGAAGGAGGAGAGCCCCTGCGACCCCGAGGAAAGAGCTGAGCAGCAAATCCTCCTCCCAGGGCCAAGCCAGAGCATAGCATCCCTGCCTGAGGCTGGGGGACCTGGGCAGAGAATGGGTCTCTCGCTGCCGGGATGAGACAGGGAGGTACTCTGAGCAAGGGCTTGGCCCCAGTGGGGGGGGACATTAGTACCAAGTAGCTGTGGGTGGGAGGGGCCCCTGGAGTCCTTCCTCAGGCAGGGGAAGGTGATAAGGATCCCTCCTCCCCTCCATGAGGGGTGTACCACAGCAGGAGAGCCAGGCTGCCTAACCCCGCTCAGCTCACAGCTCCCCTGCTAACAACGTACCACGGTAAGGGTGGGGACTCGGGAACAAACCCCCTCTGCCTTCAGCAAGAGCTGGGGCACCTGGGCAGGGAGGAAGGAGAGACTGGGTACAGTACCACAGGCAAGGACCACGCCAGAGCGCAGCACCTCTCGCTCGAGAGGACCCCAGGCCATCCTGCCCCTGCAGCACGGGGGGATGTCTGCTGGCTGCTCCCTTCGCGCTCTGCAAGGCACTTTCAGTCCCTCGCCCACGACTCGGGGGGCAGGGCTGCTCCCCACAGAGAAGGTGGGTGAGGACGGTCCGAGCCGCAGCACACAGCTTGGTCCGCTTCCATCTACAGCCAGCTCCAGTTCCCAGAACTGCAGGGAAAGGAAAGGGGCACCTGACTGCCCTCCTGCTGGGTATGGGCTCTCCTCTCTCTGTCCACAGCAAGTTTGGCTCCTCTTCAGCATTCCCTTTTGCCTATGAGCTGGGCTGCACCAGTCACTGCGGCCCAAGCAGTGAAGCCGGCGTGCAGGGAGATGCCCAACCCAGCAGAGTCTTCAAGGTGCGTGCATTGTGCAGGAGACAGAAGAGATGCTGGATGATTCCCTCTTCACTGCCGGGTTCACCACCAGGCACGGAGCCAGCCAGGCAAGAGTTAATAAATAACACCCAGCTGGTAGGCTGCAGAGCTTCAACACGAGCATGCTGCCTTCTCAGGACTTGGGGACCAAAAAGGGAAGCAGAGGTGTTTCTTGAGGCCCCCTCTAGCCCCGAACTGAGCATCTCCTTCCTCCAGCCTTGCCCAGCCAGGGGGCAATGGGAGCAGCGTTAGTAAAGAGTCTGTGTTAAAAAAAAAGTTCCTGGGATGGGAAAGACCCTGTCCTGTGCGAGGAAGCGGGAGACCACAACAGGGGCTGGAGAGAGCCTGAGGTCTCATTTTGCAACCTGAAATGGGAGTCCGTGTCCAACCACCAGCCTCCGAGAGCTGCTGCCCACTCTGTCTCTGCACTGCGGAGGTCTCTGTCTTCTCCCCGTCCCCCTCGCTTCCCAGCTGCCAGCCTCACGTCTGCTCTGCTGCAGCAACCACTGGCACTGCCACCGCCCCCTCCTCCTTGGCTGGGGGCTCCATGTAGATCGGCGTCACCGATGAGGGCTTCTTGGACCTGCAGGTGAGGACACTGGATGGGAGCAGGCAGGGGTGGTGGTTTCCCTCAGGACCCCAACAGCACTGCCTGCTTCCCTGGTGTGATCCGCTTCCCACTGGGATATCCTCCAGCCCTGCGCACATATCCCGTCCCCCCTCCCACCACGATGATTCAGCAGAGGGCTGCTACGCCCCATGACTGGGCTGGGACAGAAGCTGGTGATGCAGTGCCCCGGGCAGGGGACAGTGAGGATGGAGGGGTATTACCCAGGTTGCTGTGCCCCCGACACTCACGAGTAGGGGGAGGCAGGGACCCCCACCACGAGGAAGTGGTTCTTCTTGCGGAAGAGCCGCCACAGCCCCTTGTGGTTCCCACGGACGTCCAGGTCCCAGATGTGGAGGCACTAGGATGGTGGGCAGGGAAGAAGAGGCATCAGAGCTTGGTGACCGACACCAGGGCCAGGTGTCCCCTGGCAAGGGAAGAGGCACCAGCCCTGCCCTCACTGGGGCACAGCAGAGAGGATGGCACCTTGACCAGGGCAGCACCCCTCCAGCCACCATCAGTGAGAGAACAGGGGGAACCCGCTCCCATTCCTGCCTCAGGATGGTGGGATTGACTGTCACCTCCAGGTGAGCAATGCAAACATCCAGACAAGCTCAGGCCCTGGGCTCCCACACAGGGAGGCCATAAGACTTATCCCCACCGAGCCAAGCATGTCTCCCAGTGATGCCGAGATCCGTGCAGGGGTGAGGATGGGCCACATCAGGAGCCTCACCTTGGCAAGCTGAGTCCAGGTGGTGAAATCTGCTTCCTGCTCCATCCTGATGAACATGACGTAGACCTTGCCCTCAGTGTCGGGCACAAAGGAGTCCTCGCAGGGGTTCTTGCTGTGGTCCAAGACCTCAGCCTCACTGTGGAACCGAACAGGGAGTGAGAGGGGATCCCACCTCCTCCCTGCTCCCACTGCAGGGTACTTCAGACAGGCAAGCGGTGGCTGGGGCTGCCAGGGCCACCTCCACCCTTTCTTTCGTCCTGGTTGGTTCACCCAGCGTGTCCCATGGTCTCCCAACCTCCCTGCAGGCACTCACCCCAGGAGGCGGTGAATTTCAGTCTCGTAGGCATCCTTCCTCAAGCTGTTGGAGGAGGAGAGAGCACAGAGGTCAGGGCAGAGTCAGACAGTTTGATCGGCAGGGATCATCCCAAGATGATCCAAACTTCAGACTGCCCCAGTGTGATACAAAAAGGCAGGATGGAGCCAATGAATGGAGAGCAGGGATGGCCACATATCCCGGAGGATAGGGCAGCAAAACCACGACCCTTCAACATGCCCGCCAGGTGCACAGGGTGGCCAAACCCAACCTCACAAAAACCACACGGACTCCGCAGTGGAGGCCAGTGTGCTGGGGCTGCAGGTTCTGGCTGTTGTTCCAGCAGAAAGGGAGACGTCCCCAGCACAACGGGACAAGGGTCAGGCCAAGCAACTGCTTCTTCCAGATCTCATTCTGACCAGCACTCACCTCTCCACGTTTTTAAGCTGGACATTCGGAACCGTGTTGAACTTGTGCTTCTTGAAATAGGCTTCCTAGGAGGAAAAGAGAGAGAGGGGAAGGAAAACAGGGTCCAGTAAGGAGTCTGCAGTACTGGGAGGTCACCTCAACCATCCCCGCTACCCGGAAAGCGGGCCAAGTCAGAGCTCAGCACCAGGACGGGGCTTGGGGGCTGAGGGAGGTCGCTCACGTGAAAGTAGCCATTCATGTTGAGCCCCACGATGCCGAAGTGGTAGGAGCGCGAGATGTCAGGGATGATGCACTCCCGGCCCTTCCGCTGCTCGGGCATCCGCATCCACATGTCCCAGTCCCAGAGCTGAGGAGAGGAAACTGCGACTCACGCTCGAGTTTGGGGACATGATTTGGTAGAGTGGCTGTCCAGGGACCTTTTCTGGCTGTCCACACCAGCTCTAGCCCCTTTGGCCCCAGCCTGCCTGGGCTGCTCCAGCCAGCTCTGTGGCTAGGTACGTGGTCCTCAAGTTACCATCTGTCCCACATCCATTCTGCTTGGGCATCCTTCCCAGTAGAAGCTCAGGGAGAGTCAACACCCCTCCAAGAGCTGTACCTACAGGGACTGGGTGATGATCAGGGACTGCTAATGGGCAGAGATGGGGGTGCAGAAGACAGGGTCCCTCTAGGGTACTCACCTTCTCCGGGGTTGGCCACTTTGGCTCCAGCTCGTCCTTGTATAGGCTCTTCCGGAGCACCCAGCCCAGGCCTGGCATGGTCTCCACGCGGTACAGGAGTGAGGGGTCCTCAGCCGTGTGCTCATAGCCCTGCGATTTCAAGGGCAGCACTCAGCACCCTGAACGCACCCCCACCCTGCCAAAACAGGAGGCATCTTGCTCCAGGGGCGCAAGCATGGGGAGCAGGGGACAGCTGCTGGGAAGCACGTGGCAGGAACGGGACGGGGATTTGCAGGGGCATGTCTGAACAGTTCAGGGCTGGGGAGACAGACCCACCTAGGATGATGGTGGGGGTTCACCCTGCTTCACAGACAGAACCTGGACCCCAGCCTGACACGAGAACAACACAGGGCAGAGGTTTCCCTGGTCTGCTGTCCTCCCTGACCCACCTGGTCGTTCCAAGCCGAGATGCAGTACAGGCTCTCGTCCTCCTCCAGAAGGTGTATGGACTGGCTCAGAAAGCTGAGGGAAGAGTTGCCCGGTCCCAGGTCAAACATCCTGCCCCCAGGCAAACCACGGCAAATTCTCCACAAAGGGACACATCACTCCCAACTGCTGGGACTGTCTAACCTATCTCTTGGGCTGCGATGGCTGATGTTGGTGTGAGATCAGGGGAGGGGACCCAAACAAGCTAAGCTACATCTCACCATGGGGAGGGGACAACATTGTCTCCTGCTCCATCAGAGTCCCTCCTCCTTATGAAAAAACTGGAGCCCCAGTAGGTTCTGTCCCTGCGCTCTTGCCATGGGGCAGTGCTAACCATGTGTTTACAGAACAGATCAGTGTCCCCAAAAAGCAAACCAGGAAGAGATCCCAGACCTCAGAGTCACCCTGCACTGAGTGCCAGGACAGTGGACTCAAGACTCTCTGCAGGCAGAGTCCAGCTATGGCTGTTGCCTGGGGACTGCTCAGCCTTGGACAGGTGAGCTACAACATGGCAGGGATCTGGCCTCTCCTGAACAGCCAGAGAGCTCCACCCAAATAGGAGCTCAGGGACCCACAGCTCTACCTGAAGAAGTCAACAGAAATGTCAAGGTCTTCTTCCAGAACCACAGCGAATTTAGCATCCTGTAGAGCAAGGAGAGATGTCAGAAGGATAGGACCAGGACAGACCAGAGACACCAAGCACCGTCTCCTGCCTGTGCTGTTCCGTGCCCCACAGGACCAGTTCCAGCTCCTGTGAGCTGGGGGTCACAGATACCACTCTCCCAGGGAAACCCTGCCCTGTCTTGCTCCCACAGGTGAGCAGCTAGACAGGGCGCAGGCAGAGGTCTTGCTCACCGGGAACAGGTTGAAGGTTGCAGTCAGACTGGCTTTGTAGTGCTACAAGAAAAGACAGATCATTGCCTGTGTTAGCATCACCCCTGAGAGCACAGGGAGGGGTAGCCCAGCACACATGCGGGGCTAAGCCTGCCTCCCTCGAATGCTATCCCAGATCCCACAGAGTAATTCCCCCAGGATTTGGGAAAGGTCTCTCACCTGGGAAACTCTGGCATTTTTAATGCTGATGGGAGTGTGCTGGATTCCTGAGAGGCCAAACAGCTCCACAACATCCATTGGCTCCTGCAATGGAAAGGTACAATGCCCAGCAAATGTGTGGGTCTGGATACGTTCTCCCCGCCCTCTGCCAGTGCCAGCTGCCTGGGATAAGAACATGACTGCAGGATCCCCTGCATGTGGCTGTCCTCTTGGGAGTAAGCGATGCTCAAAATGATGCTGTGCTGTAGACCCCACAGCAAGGAACTCTCCAAAGCCTCCTGGCCCTTCTGACCTTCAGTATCGCCCTAAGTTTGTTAGCCCTGCTAGTCTGCAGACCTAAAGTTGCATCCAAGAACACGAGAGGCCCAAAATTTCCAGTCCCTCTGTGGACAGTGCAGAAAGAAAACAGGTATAGCCAGGAACACCTACTAGCTCCTTAATGTCAAGACCATATCAACTACATTTTCTCTCACGGTTGCCAAGAAAGGGACCTCTCTGACCAAGCACATCCGCACTGGGGTCAGAAGCGATCTGTACTTGTGCTGACACATCTCTGCCTGTAGAAGGCCCCACCAAGGCCTTCTCCATCCCCTTACAGTCCCACCCTAACTCCTAGCCACAAATGAGAGCAGGAGCTCCCACTGCACCAACCATTCCCCCTTTCCCTGGTATCCACCATGGCAGCACAAGCATCCAGGCTGCCCCCTCATAACTGAGGGATGCTGCTCCAGTTGCCATGGCAATGGATGCTGCTATCTTTAACCACTCTGATGTGCTGCAGTAAGAGCCTGCGTAAACACACCAGCTGCCCCAGCCCCACAGCCTGGCAGTGGTGGGAGAGGCCTGCAAGGGAATGAGCCTGTTTCCTTCCCCACCTCCATCACAAGGCGACCAGACAATACCTCACGGGCTGCTGCAGAGAAGATAGCTAGAAAGCTGCTGAGACCTACTACGATCTCAAAGTCCCACAGCATAACCCGCTGCCAGAGAGCCAGGGTTTGCAGAGGGATCCTTCAGGGCTTTCTAAGGTTGAGCTGACAGGAAGGTCTTTGCCCTCTAAAGGGCCAGCTCTCCTCCACTTGGCTGCAGTTTTCACAAGCCTTGTGAAAACAGATTGTTTTGGGTCTCTTCACCTCTTACCAAGAGTGGAGCTGGACAGGCACAGCTGGACTGGTTTGTTCTGCTCCATTCGAGGGAGCTGGATACATGGTGTTAGGCTGGCGATACTCATCAAACAAGAAATGGGGATGGGGCGAGCCCAGCATGACCACCTCATCCCTGCACGCCAGCCCCTTTCTGGCATGGGAATGTCAAGCCCAGGCTTCGGGAAAGGCCAGGGCAGCTTTATCCACACCCATGGCTTGGCTAAGCTGACTGACTTTGCATAGGAGGAGCAGTGTGACCCACAGCAGGAAGAAGGGTGAAGGGGCTTATAGCCTGCCACCCAACCAAGGACTGGGCCAGCACCGCATACTCTCAGCTGGGGGACCAAGGACCCGGCTACAGGAATGTCTGGGAGTGCTCTCACCTCGTAGTACCCATCGATGAAGACTGTGATCATCTGCGGATTGACGCCCTGAGCCGACAGCAAGGAGCGCAGCATCCTGGGGAGAGATCGAAGGGCCTGAGCACAGCACAGCCCCAGTGGGCCCAGGCCATTCAGCAGAGGGTACGGATCCCCTGGGGTGGGGGAAAGTGTGCATGATAAGGAAACAGGACCTGCTACCCCCGGGCTCTTCCCTCTCCCATTGCCAAGGACCCTGGGATCTGTCCAAGCAGGTCTGCCCATGTTGGTCGTACAACTCCAGGAGGAGGCTGGATCCTGCCAGCAGGATGAAGGGGAGGGCTCGGGCCATGCCTGGTCTTGTGGCACGGGGCAGAGAAGCAGTGTCCACTGGAAGTGCTTACCTGTACAGGTAGTTGGGGCGGTTCCCTGCAATAACAGCTACAGGCACATCGAAGACTTTATTGTCTTTGAGCTGGAAGAGAAAAAATGTGTGTGAGTGAGGCTGGAGGAGGCCATGCCACTGAGAGCAGGACCTAAGGGGTAGGGATCGGCCCTGGTGTTGAACAGCAGAGCTGCACAGTCCCACCTCCAGCTCAGGACCACAACGACCAACCAGGACCCCATCCAACACTGCTGGAGACCCTGCCAGCTTCCCTCCTTCATGCCATCTCAGACCCAGCTCCCAAATCCCAACTTGCATCCACCTGGAGATCCAAACTCTGCAGCATTGTGCCAAGGACAGCCCAAAGGCCATCATAGCTGCTCTGTCTCCAAATGTACAAGCTCTGCTGCTCATGCCAAGATCCCTAGAGCCATGGTAACCCAGCAGCTCAGGGCACATGTAGGGCAAGAGAACTTCTCTTTCCCAGCATGACCTGACCACACGTATTCACCTTACCTTCGCTGGGGTTAAGAGCTTGCCCAGGGGCAGTTTTCACCACCCAGCTAGTGCTTAAGGACAGGGGTCTGCATCTGAGCTGCAAACACACCTGGTCCAGCCCAGCCCTCCCTCCTGGAGCCTTCCCTGAATACTCTGCTCCTGCACTCACGGGATCAGGGTTGAACTCAATGGGTGTGGGGTCTTTGCAGCTGCAGACGCTACCATAACCTTCTACTTTGCTGCAGAACCTCTTTCGGCGGGGGTTCACGTAGGGGG